CTCACAAGGACACATCACCTGGGCCCTGAGGTATAAAGACAATAGCTAAGATAATCTTGGAAAATATCTTTTAGGGAAACTTTCACATAAAGCCAATTGAATGGAACACAAAAGACTTTCTACTCTTTTTCTATTAGCATTTAGTGAATAGAAATTTGGTGGACCAATGAAGACCCTCCTGACTGTCGTTACTGAAACCTGTACCAATGATTGTTAAGAAAGACAATTCAAAATGTAGGATCACAGTCTCTAGCTAATCTGAAAAGGCTAAGCTTTCAGTGGTTTTGTCCATTTGTAATGTTGATGTATACTGATGACTCTGTAATGGTTTTTTGGACTTGGACAGACTTGGCTCTAGCAGCATGCTTGTCCGTTTTCCCACTTTTGTCTGTTCTGTGACATTTCCTTGGACTTGGGCAGACATGGCTCTGCAGCATGGTTGTCTGTTTCCCACTTTTGCCTTTTTGAATATATGCCGAATAAAATTTTTTTTGCTTTACTCAACTTTGTGATGTTTTTCCCCTACAACACTCCCTTTCTTCCTTCTGTCTAGCCTCCTTCCCTCCCTCCCTCTCTCCTTCCCTTTCTCCCCTCCCTCCCTTCCTCCCTTTCTCCTTTCCTTTGTCTCCCCCTCCCTTCCTTCCTCCCTCCCTCTCTCCCTCCCTTCCTTTGTCTCCCCCTCCCTTCCTTCCTCCCTCCCTCCCTCCCTCCCTTCCTTCCTTTGCAGGGAATCAGATCCCTATCTTCAAATGAAACCTTCTTGGAAGCTCCACATTTCACACAGATCAAAGCAGAATGACTCTGAATAAAGGTGGAACCCTGTGCTGTGTCTCCTGGATCATCTCCTTAGAGGCCAAGAGCTCCATGAGCCTGGGCTTGACTCTTCCAGCTCCTTCCTTTGACAGGAAGCTGCGGTTCAGGATGAAGTGATTTTCCCAAAGGAAGCCAAGGGTGCCCTGACCCCCAATCCAACGTGTTTGCCACCACACTGTTATCCCTTAAACCGACATTTGCAAGATGATGTTAAAATAAGTCATCAAGTAAAATGTGGTTCAGACTGTAGAGTGAGCTAATATATCTTGTTTTCACAGCAAAAATAAATAAATCCAATTTTGTAAGGAAATAGTAGCAGAAACAGGACTGGCTCAGGGTGAGGTGGGGAAGCAGACAAGAAACAGAAAAGTATAAAGGCAGACTCATTATGTTTTATATTTCTTTCACAAAATGCTCTGGTCATGATCTAAATATAAATTTTTAATGGGGAACACAAGATCCTAGGTAATTAAAGATGTGGCCTTGGGTCTCCATTTCCTCCATCTCTCGTGAGGACTTGGAACCCAGTGGTCGCTAAGGAGCTTCCCAGCTCTGAAACATTCTGCTGTGCTACACCATATGCAATGGACACTGAAAACTTCTGCCTTCGCTCTCTATTGTGGCAAGTATGGGTTAAAGAGAAAGCAGAGAGGGAGAGAGCCGAGGCAGAGAGAATACCTGCCATACTCCTATTCATGCCTCAAGATCCCTCTCAAATGTCCCTTTCTCCATGGAGTGGTTCTTTTTTCTTGGTCGTATTTTTTTTCACTCCCTCTTTGTTTTCTAAGAATTATTTGTTCACATTCTTGTCTCCCTTAAATCAGGTACAATAGATTATTCACATTTTTAAATCCCCAGAATCTAACACAGCGTGTGGAACAATAAACTCACCAAGTTGTTTCGTAGATCAACATGCCAAGAAATCCTGCTGCAATGTCTGCTAAGACCCTTACTGGCAAAAATCATTTGCTACAATTGTTTTTCTCTTTCTCTCAACCAAACCAAGCCCCCGAATCACCTCTTTAAAACTAAATTGGCATTGATAAATTGTGTTAGAGAAAAACCTTAGAATGTGGACGTGTTGGAATCCTTGAAGTATTGTTTTCTTTATCTTCAACAGAGAAAAACCTCAACTTTCAGCTTTAAAAGTGAGCAGTACACATTTCATTCCCCTCATGGAGTAACAACTTTAAGTTATATCTTTATAATATTGTTACAAAATATTTTAAAACCTTGGTGTATTTTTGCAACTAGAGGCGTAAGTGGGAAAAGCTTTGGCTTCTCATCTTAGATGCTGACAAAATTGAGTGGAACAAGGGCCTGGTGCCTGGACCTAAGGCTTCCCACCCTGAACCTAATGGCACAGGACGAGGTCATGCCTGACCCCAAAAAAAGCCTAAGTGTATGAGAGAAACAAACTCACCTTCTTTGACACTTAGCCGTGAGGACTGGTCTGTGTGGGAGGTTGTATTGTAGGCCAGCAGTGAACCTGGAAGGCAAAGAAAGACAGGGACCAAAAGTTATTCTGAGCTCAAGAGTAGGAGATGGGGGAGGAAGGAGGAAAGGGCGGCCGTTGCTTAGGGGGCGCTGAGCTTCTGCTGAGGGTGATGGGAAGTCTGGAAATGGGTAATGGTGATGGCTGCACAATATGGCGAACACAATTCATGTCACTGAATCGTACCTGTGAAGAATGTTGAAATGGCAAATGTTTTGTTTACATATGTATTTACCACAATTAAATTTAAAAAAAGAGTAGAAGATAAGAATGAAGAGGGATTAAGAAGAGGAAGGATGGGGAGAGGGGGAAGAGAGAGAGAGATTACTCCCGGAAGGAAAGAAAAAGTTGATGCCATTCATTTTTTTTGGAGTGAATCATACAGGACTGTAACAGCTTCATGGAATCAGGGTCACAGCGAATTAGGATCGAATGCTGGGGGTGGGGTGAGGCCACGGCCGACCCCCCCTAAGCTCCATGTTTATTTGGGTATCATTCTGAAGGTCTCTGGAGCCACACCACCTCATGGTGAGAACACAGGGCAGAGAAATCAGGAAACCAGGGTCCTGGTCCTGGTTCTGCTACTAACTTGCTGTGTGACCTTGGTACGTGACTTTTCCTGTCTAGACCTTAAATCTGTCATCAGAAAAATGAAGGCACTGGACCAAAACAAGAGTCAGCAATCTTTTTCTATAACAGACTAGATAGTAAATACTTTAGACTCTGAAGGCCACATACAGTCTTTGTCACACATTCTTCTTTGGTTTTGTTGTTTTTTACAACCCTTTAAAAATGTAAAACCCTTTCTTAGCTCAAGGGCAGTCCAAAAAAAAGCCATAGGCCAGAGTTGACCAGATTTGGCCTGCAGGTCATCATTTGCCACACCCTGGCCTAGAAGATCATTAAAATTCCTTCAGCTATGATATTCTTTGTTTTTTTATGTACAGATCCTTTTACAGGAGGGGGTAATAGAACTTGGGTATTCATTACTGGTGGCTGGAGTTGGGAAGTGGGGGGGCTGGTAGTACTCCAAGTAGTAACTTTTGCCTCCCTTCGCATAGGTCCTTAAGAGAATTCAACTAAAAGAGAGGAATAATACATTGAATCTTCTGTCATCCCAGAGTGCTGATTCACAAATGTGAATGTGCACCTATCCGTACCAGGCACTAGTCTCGGCATTTTGAAGGGATGATAGATTTTTTTTTGTTGCTTTCTCTCGTCTTTTCTAAAACAACATTTGTTCCTTCGTTTAAAGTCAATCCAAGAGTTTTCTTCTATAAAATTCAGGCATTTTTCAGATTTTCCTTGCGATTCTCCTGAAGAACCCTAAGGTGCCAACAACACCAGGCTGGGATCTGCTTTTATAGAGGACACGATAAACCAGTTGCCGTCAAGTCAATTCCGACTCAGAGCGACCCAGTAGGACAGAGCAGAACTGCCCCATAGGGTTTCCAAGGCTGTAAATCTTTATGGAAGCAAACTCTGCATCTTTCTCCTACAGAGCGGCTGGTGGGTTTGAAATGCTGACCTTTCGGTTTGCAGCCGAGCGCTTAACCACCATGCCACTAGAGCTCCTTAAAGAACCTGATAAGCTTGACTTACGTGTTTGAAGGTTCAGACAATCTTTCTAAATAATCCCTTCCCTGCTTCTTGTGACCAGGTGGACTCACTTCAGGGCCAAGGCTTGAACAGGAATGGGCAATTAGAACATTCTTACGTTTTGGTCCCAGTCTAGGAGCCAAACCATGGAGTGGATGCAAAAGTGGGGCTGCTGCCTGGCCCAGCTGTGGGCATTCGGTTGTGCATCTCAGAGGAAATGTGGGTCCTACCAGGTCAGACTAGGCGGAAAAGAACTTCACAAGAACCATCCAACTGCCTAGAACACAAGTCTAGCTTGGGTGACTCTGAAACAGCCAAACAAAGGGTGAGGAGAACTAAGACTGCTACATGCCAAGAGTGTGGGTATGTGGATACCATTTTGGAACTGAGACAGTCACGTGAATGTAATATCCAAGACCCCACTCTCGGGTTATTCCATTCTCAAGAACATCAACAACAAAGTGAGGCTGGGACAACCTCATTTTAATATAATTATGCAGATGAGAGTTTGGAATAGTTGTTGTTAGTTGCCACGAGTTGGAATCGACTCAATGGCAACTGGTCATTTGAACATGGTTGTTGAGAAGATTAAATAAAATAAAACATGTAAAGTGCTCAGAACATATCCTGGCTCATACTATGTGTCTGTTATGAATTGAATTGTGTCCCCCTAAAATATGTGTTGTAAATCCTAACCCCTATACCTGTGGTTGGAGCCCTGGTGGTGCAGTGATTAAGAGCTATGGCTGCTAACCAAAAGGTCAGCAGTTCAAATCCACCAGCTCTTCCTTGGAAACCCTATAGGGCAGTTCTACTCTGTCCTATAGGGTAGCTGAGTCGGAATTGGGTTTTTTAGACCTGTGGTTATAATCCCATTTGGGAATGGGATTTCTTTGTTATGTTAATGAGACAGGATTAGTGTAAGGTGTGTCTTGAGTCAAAATCTTTTGAGATATAAAAGGAGCAGATTAAGCAAGGAAGCAAAGAAGCAGAGATGGGGGAAGATAGACACCATGCCACATGAAGACGGCCAAGGAGCGAAGGAGTAGAAGCTGAAGAGACAAGGACCTTCCCCAGAGCCGACAGAGGGAGAGCCTTCCCCTAGAATGTGAATTTGGACTTCTAGCTTCCTAAACTGTGAGAAAGTAGATTTCTGTTTGTTAAAGCACCCACTTGGGGTATTTCTGTTACAGCAGCACTAGAGAACTGGGCCAGCGTCCAGTAAATTCTAGCTACCATTATTACTGTCTGTATATCCCATTCTCCCACAGACATCATAACTACGCACAATAAAAGGCCCTAATAAGAGAGTTCACTAAGCACTAGTCCTGCCCTCTGGAACTGGAGTTATGAATGGGCTCGGCTGCAATAAGAAATAATCCTCTACGATCGGAAGAAGGCTAAGAAATGGAACTAACGGTTCCAAGGGATTAGAAAAAAAATTTCAGGAGTGAGACCAGGAATGTCTGCTTCTCTGTCCCCACATTCTCTCCCTCAGGCGCAAGCTTCACTGCAGAGCAAATAAAGAAAAATGATGGTCTCTGGGGAGCAGACCGCCTGAGCCGTTAGCGCAGATTCAGCCGAGAGCACGGAGTTTAGATAAACCACATTTATTAACTTTTCCCCTTGGTGAAAGTTCTTCTTTGGGCACACGTGAATTCCACAGGAAACTCCCAGAAAGCCAAGAGAAAGGGTCGTTTGACCTCCGCAAAGCTTGCATGAAATGCATATTTCATGGTAACCTAGAAAAAGGATTTTGCCCTGAAGACTGTTCCTGGTTCAAGTTTCTTTCCTAGAAGGAGAGGCTGCCCCCCCCCAAAGAGGTGGGGGGCCTCTGGCCTGTCTCCCAGAGGACCAGCGTTCCCTCCTCTCCTCGGAGATTTATTTAACCTGTTTCTCAGGCTACAGAGGGTGGCCCAGCACACTCTTTTCCTAAGGGAACTTGTGCTGGGCAGGAGGATCCTCTTGGAGCCCGGCCTCCTCCGGCTCTGTGGCTTTGGAGTTCTTTCTCCTGCTCTGAGGCACCACCTCCACCAGCCCTGGAGGGCTCAGGTAGGGCTGAGTCCCGAGCCTCTCCCGACTCCCAGAAGGAGGGACTCTCCTGATCCCCCGGAAGGAGGGACGCCGACACCTGTGGACACTTCCTGTGTGCCAGCACCTTACGTCCACTCTCTCACTTAACCCCTATGTGAGCCATGCAAAGCCACTATCACGGTATTCCCTCTCCTGCAGATAGGAAATCAATGTTCAGAAAAGTCAAGGAATTTGTCCAGTATCACACAGCCAGAAAGCGAGGTGGCAGGATTCCTACTCTGGCCTGTCCATCTCCAAAACCTGTCCCCAGTCCAGCAGACCCTGAAGGCTTCAAGCAAAATCAAAGAAAACTCCGACCTGGTGTTGGAAGCTGGACGGTGGTTACCCTGGGGAGGGAGGAGGGTGATGACTGACAGTGGGCACAAGGGGGGCTTCTAGTCTACTTCTGACCTGGGTGGTGGTTATATGAGTGAGGGGGTTCACTTTGTGGTAATTCCCTGAGTTGTGTATTTATGATTTTTGCACTTTACTGCATATGATACTTCAATTAAAAAAATTTTTTTTTTTTTTTTTTACTTATTTGTTTATGTATGTATGTATATCTATTTATTCTGGACCTGCTTTTCCCTGAAAGGAGTTTTTGGGTGGCACAAATAGTTAAGCACTTGTCTGCTAACCATAAAATTGGCAGTTCAAATCCACCCAGGTGCCTCAGAAGACAGATCTGGTGAGCTGTTTCGGAAAGATCACAGCCTTGAAAACCCTATGGAGCAGTTCTGCTCTGCACACACGGGGTCGCCATAAGTTGGAATCGCCTTGATGACAACTGGTTATGGGTTTTTTTTGTTTGTTTGTTTTGTTTTTGCCCTGAAAACCACATAGTGGCTGCCACTGAGACCGGGATGGTCTTCCCAAAATAAAAGCCTGAGAAAAAGAATTTTCCATTTTTGAGTCCATTGTCACTGGATACTGTACTTGGGGTCTGAAGGAAGATGGAAATGAACACAGTGACGCTTTGCAGGTCCCAGCAAGAGGGCCCTCTCACTCTACATCTCTCCACCTAGCCTGCTCTCTTCTGGAATGCCTGGCACAGGGAGAGGACTGTCTTCAGTTCACTGAGTCTGTTTTGCCAGCCCCCAACCCCCACTGTCAGCGCAGAAGACTGAGGTGCATGGGTGTGGACAGGAGGGCCGGGGACGGGCTCCACACTCTACACAGCAGGCCTGGCTGACTGCTGAGTCCCAGGGAAATCTGGCCTTTTGTTCTCTTTTACCGGCCAGAACCTGGGGCCTGGAATGGATAATACTTCACCCACTCAATTGCCGAGACCCATCACCTTTGCCCAGCCATCTGAGGCTGCA